TTATAAAGCGCCTTTCACGTCAGGAGGACGTCCCAAGGCGCTGCACAGTTGGGTCATGACCCGAGCAGCGGGGAAATGGTCAGGGTGAGGGGAGGGAAGGGAGGGAGCGAGGAGGGGGGAAATGGTCAGGGTGAGGGGAGGGAAGGGAGGGAGCGAGGAGGGGGAAGAGAGTCGAGAGGGGAGCTGAAGGCTCGGTCAAAGAGAAAGGTTTTGAGACCGGCCTTGAAGGAGGAAAGGGAGGAAGCGGCGAAGGCACTGGGGGATGGAGTTCCAGAGCCTGGGGGCTGAGAGGCTGAAGGCCCGACCACCGATGGTAGGGCGGTTGGGGCGGGGGACGTGGAGCAGACCGGAGCCAGAGGAACGGAGGGTACGGGCAGGTAGGTAGGGGGATAGTAGGTTGGAGAGGTAGGAGGGAGCAAGGCCGTGAATGGCCTTGTAGGTGAGGATGAGGATCTTGAAATCAATCCTCTGGGGGATGGGGAGCCAGTGGAGGCGAGCGAGGGTGGGAGTGATGTGGTCCCGAAGCCTGGTGCGGGACAGTACACGAGCTGCAGAGTTCTGAATGACCTGCAGTGTGGAGGGAGGTGGCGGGAAGGCCGGCGAGGAGAGAGTTCCCGTAGTCCAGCCTTGAGGTGACAAAGGCGTGAACCAGGGTTTCAGCCGCGTGAGGGGTGAGGTAGTGCCGTAGTCTGGCGATGTTCCGGAGGTGATGGAAGGCGGTGCCAGTTGTGGTGCGGATGTGAGGGAGAAAGGACAGCTCAGGGTCGAACAAAACGCCGAGGTTCCTGACTGGCTTTGAGAGGTGGAGAGTGCAGCCTTGGATGCTGATGGTGTCAGCGCCTGAGGTGCGGAGGCGCTGACGTGAGCCAATCAGGAGGGCCTCGGTTTTTCGCACGTTGAGCTGAAGAAAGTTGTCTCTCGTCCAGGACTCGATGTCGGACAGACAGCTGTCAGGACATCAGTGGTCGTGGAGTTGAGAGTAGAGGAGGAAAGGTAGAGTTGGGTGTCATCCGCATACATGTGGAAGTTAACTCCATGTCTGCGGATGATGTCACCAAGGGTGAGCATATAGAGGGTGAAGAGGAGGGGACCAAGGACAGAGCCCTGAGGGACACTACATGAGACAGTACGGGGGGTGGAGGAGAAGCCATTCGTCGAGACAAAGTGAAGACGGTGAGAAAGGTACGACCTAAACCATTCAAGGACAGTGCCTTGAAGGTTGAGGTGGGAGGACAAGCGGTGGAGTAGGATAGCGTGGTCGACCGTATCGAATGCTGCCGATAGGTCAAGGAGGACGAGGAGACAGAGGGAGCCCTGGTCACAGATGGTCAGGATATCATTGGTGACCTTGACCAGGGCAGTTTCTGTGCTATGGGCAGCACGGAAACCTGACTGAAGGGGTTCGAAAAGTGAATGGGTGGAAAGGAAAGAGCGCAGTTGGGAGGCGACAACTCTTTCCAAGACCTTGGAGAGAAAGGGGAGGTTGGAGATGGGCCGGTAGCTTGATAGCTGCGACGCATCAAGGGAGGATTTTTTCAGGGTGGGCGTGATGATGGCAGTTTTTAATGGAATGGGGACAGAGCCAGAGGAGAGGGACAGGTTGATGATGTCAGTGATATGTGGGACAAGAAAGTGGAGCTGGGAGATAAGGAGTGGAGTGGGGATGGGGTCAAGGGAGCAGGTGGTTGGTTTTAGGGATAGGATGAGTTCAGTGACAGAGGGTGGGGAAACGGGTACGAAGGTGTGTAGGGGAGGATGGGTAGGAGTCGGAGTGTGGGAGGGAAGGGGTGGGTGGTGGGTGGAAGTTGGAGGGGAAGTGACCGCGGAGCGGATTCCCTTGATCTTGGATTCAAGGAAATCCAGCATCTCCTCGCAGTGAAGATTGGAGGAGATGACCTGCGCGGGGTGGCGGGGGGGACGGAGGAGTCGGGTTGTGGTGGAAAACAGTAGCCTGGGGTTGTTCTTCGCCTCCAGGATTATCCTATTGAAGTATTCAATAGGAAATTCTAGGAAAGTGTGAATGCTGTAAAGTAATGAATATAAACCCTGTGAATTCTCTGGACCATCCAAAAGCCAACAGCCCATGTGATGATACTGACTGTTTCCAGCTGTGAAGGGAGGACGTTCCCTTCAACTGGACCTCGTGAGGAATGTGATTCGCTCATTGGCCACATGTCAAACCTGAACCTTTGGGTATTTAACCTAGAGGCTGAGCTCAGTCAAACCATTGGAGGAAGGAGTCACCTTATTAGCTTAGAGAGAGCAGATGAGTTGTTGGAGGCTTGTGGTTCAGAACAGTGACATGGTCAGTTTGCGTGTGGTGGAGCTTGGCTCAGGCCGGTCTCTCTATGGACTATATCAGGTAAGTCTGTATTTGTGAGAATCCTTCTGGTGGGCTGTAAATTGTCAGTAATGTTTGTGAAGGGAAGTTGTCCAAACCTTGGGTGTTGTCAGTCCTGTGAGCTTCAGAGACATTACCACTGTCCACCTGCTCTCCATGTCAATTGTGAGCAACTCTTGGCCAGTTTGGCTTCTCCTTTTATTGTGTAATTTATCTCAAAACCAATTGCAGTTTTGTTTCTGTCTAGTCTGTAGACAACTCCTACCAGAGTCTTCCCTCCTTTGCTGTTCCTTAATTCTACCCATAGTGTTTCCACAGCCTGATCACCTTTACTAAAGTCCTTTCTATCTACTGGTGTACTTGAGTATTATCCATATTGCTCTTCCTCCTTTCCCAATTTCCTTATCCTTTCTGAAGATCTCACAGCCTGGAATATTTAGCTCCCAGTAATTTCTGGCTTGTAGACAGGTCTCTGTAATGACTACTACATTAGACCCTTTAAGATGACTTTGTTTTTAACTTGTTTTATTTTTATATTATGTGTATTTATCACAGACACTTATTGGGGTAACTCTCCTCACTTGCCTATATGCCCAATGGTGTTTTTGTTGGCTTTTTTGTTTTTTTTTCTTAAACTGTTTATCTTTCTGGAGAAACTCAGTTATTTATCACTTTTTTGTTTTCTCACCTTTGAACTTTAAAGACCTTGTTGCCATCCATCTAATTAATGGAGATTGTAAACAACTCTTGAACAGTCTGGCTTTTCTTTTTATTGTCTAACTCGTCTCAGAGATGATGATGATGACAGAATCGTTATGTAGAATTATTATTTTGCAGTGTTAGTGTTTAAATCATCATCTAGATTTTGGTCAAAGATGTCCAACTAGGAACTGTTTGGAGATGAGATGCAGCTAAAAACCGTGGGAGATGTAAGTAATTAATGGGCTGAGCTCAGTTGCTCGGTGGAATCCTGTAGTTCAGTGGTTAGAGCGCTCGACTTGCAAGTGAGACACCTGGGTTCAATTCCAAGCAGGGTGAAATCTTGGATAAGTTTCCTTACTCCACACGCCTAATAATAATCATTCCAAAAAACAAAACAATAATAAATTGGTCATTTTCTATCCACGACTGTTTATGGGACGCTGCTGTGCGCAATTGGCTGCTGCGTTTCCCCACAAATAAATAGTCGATTCGCTTTATGGTCCATTCTGTGAAGTGCTTTGAGACGTCAGACATGATAAGCGCTATATCAAATGCAAGGCTATGATTATTGTCACAGGAAGCCAAGTCTGTACTAATGAGAACCAAAAACTGTCGACTGAAACCAATGCCCTGTTTCTCTCTCTAGCACCTTGGGATTCAAGGAGGGTAAGTAAGTTAAGTCTGTACTAGTGGGAACCCTGTAATGATGGCAAAGGTTGTATATCGTTCTTTCCTGCACCATTCCACACTCCAGAGGTTTGGCAACACTGTGTGGACTTCATGCAGGATGTCTGACATCCAAACATATGAGTCTTAACTCTGGTTCGCAGTGGAGGTTGAGATTAGAAGTCGTTAATAAAAGAGACTGGGGTTTGAGAGGGACAGGATGGAGGAGATCTTGCTGGATTAATGTGTTGAGCTCACAGTTTGGGTCAAGGGTTTAATTCATCTACATAGATTGTAGGAATATCAGAGATTGAAGTTACACACTTTTGTTAGATGGTGTAAAATCAGATTTGATGGTATCTATTATAATCTTTGGATTAGACAGTGAATTTGCTTGGTTTTGGGTAATCTCGAATAGCTGTGTGAAGGTTGGTTTTGTTTGCCCAGACCCAGTGTCTGTCCAGGTAGGTTCAGTTTACTGGTTGAGCGTCAGTTTATGCGACAGATGGTTTGGAGCACTTGTCGATCATCAGTTTGTGTCCAAGTTGGTTCAGTGCAGGTTGTGAGGTAGTAAAGGACTAATCAAAATAAGGTGAATATTTGGGATCACAGAGAGGGGTCCCAGGTGCTCAGGATTGATTGGGTAAAAGTGTCTTTGGCACATTTGAGGTATATAAGGGAGGAAGTGGAGATGAACCAGAGTTCTTGAGGTTTGGAGTTTTCACTGACACTTGACTCTAACATTACTAATTATACAAACTCTGAATTTCAGGAACTTGTAAGAGATTTAAGTCTGGGGTAAGGTTACTCTATTGGTTACTGCCTCACAACCTGCAAAATTGTGAAGAGAGGGATGTCTCCTTCAAGAGTGCACTTAAACAGCATGTAATTCTCAGCCAGTGATAAGATAACGTGACAAGTGTCTGTCAAGGTTGGTTCAGGGCAGTTGTAGAGAGTTAGTGTATGTCAGAGGATCCTCTGTTATTGATGCTTTTTATCCTGAGATTGGTTCAGTGTAGAGTTGGTTTGTGTTGGGGCTGATTCAATACAGGTAAACAGCCTATTAGTTTAGAGCGGTGTCTGATTTGGATGTGTTGCATTACGTTGGACTAGATGGTAAGTGAAGATTCCTGGAAACCTTAGGGGGGTGACTGAAGCTCATGCCCTGTTTCTCTCTCTCTCTCTAGCTCCTTGGGACTCGTGGAGGATAAGTTAAGTCTGTATGTGTGCGAACCAACCCAATGATGATGGCAAAGGTTGTATATCTTTCTCTCTTACACCTTTCCACACTCTAGAGGTTTGGCAACACTATGTGGACTTCATGCAGGATGTCTGACATCTGAACACATATGAGCCAAACTCTGGTTCACACTAGAGGTTGAGATTAGAAGTTGTTAGTAACAGACTGAGGTTTGAGAGGGACAAGATGGGGAGGTGTTGCTGGGTTAATGTGTTGAGGTGACATTTTGGATTGTGGATAGAATTAATTGGCACAGATTGTAGGAATTGCAGAGATTGAAGTCAGGCACTGTAGTTAGATGGTGTAAGATTAGATTTGATAACATCTAGTACAAGAGTTTGATCAGAGTGAGTTTGTGTGTTGGGTAATATAGAGTCGCTGTGTGAAGGTTGGTTTATTTGCCCAGAGCCAGTGTCTGTCGAGGTTGGTTGGGTTAAGTGGCTGAGAGTCGGTTTGTGTCGGGGCTGGTTGTGGAGCATCAGTTTGTGTGCGAGTTGGTTCAGGGCAGGTGTGTAGAGGTGCGTGTCTGAGGTCAGTCGAGGGCAGTTGTTGAGGGTTAGAGTCTTTCAGGCCTGGCTCAGTGCAGTTGCCTCGGGTCAGTCGCTGCCAGGGCTGGGTCGGAGCAGTTTGCACGGCTGGTTTGCTAGTAATCGGCAATGTGTAGCTGCCGAGGGTCAGTCGCTGCCGGGTCTGGGTCAGTGTGGCTGCCACGAGTCAGGTTCTGTTCAGACTGGTTTAGTGTAATTGTTGAGTCAGTTTATGCTGAGATTGGTTCACAGTTCGGTTTGTCGGGATCAGTCGGTCAAGTTGTTGAGTTGGCTTCTGTCAGTGTTTACTTAGTGTAGTTGAGAGTTGGGTTTAGTTGAGAGGGTGTTTGAGAGTTGGCTTGTGTCAGGGCAGGTTCAGTGCAGTTGAGTGAGTGGGGCGAAGGTTGGATTAGTAGAATTGTTGAGAATGGATTTCTGTGGATTTGATCAGTGAAGCTCAGGGGAGTTGGTCAGTGTTTAGTGAAGTTGAGGTGTTGTGAGATGGAATTGCCTTTGTGTTGCTGAGTTGGTTTGTTAGAGAATCCTCTGTGTAGTTATCGATGTAGTTCATGTTCAGATTGGTTCAGTGTATTTGATGGGAGTTGGTCAGTGTCAGGAATGGTTCAGTGTAGGAGCACAACCAATTTATTTACAGCAGAGCTTGGATCGGGCTGGTTGTGCGTTTGGAATATACGGTAAGTGTGGTTTTGTGGGAACGTTAGTATATTTGTATCCTCTCTTTCCAGCAAGTTGGAATTCATGGTAGATAAGGTAAGTGTAATAGCAGAAAACTATGTTGGCAACTAAAGCTATTACACTCTTTCTCTCTTGCACCTTTCCACACTCCAGAGGTTTGGTAACACTATGTGGACATCATGCTGGATGTCTGACATCCGTACACATGTGAGCCAAACTCTGGTTCACACTGGAGGTTGAGATTAGAAGTCGTTAGTAGCAAAGACTGGGGTTTGAGAGGGACAAGATGGGGAGATGTTGCTGAGTTAATATGGTGAGGTGATAGTTTGGGTTGAGGGTAGAATTAATTGGTACAGATTGTATGAATCGCGGAGATTCAAGTCAGACACTGTAGTTAGATGATGTAAGGTTTGATTTGATAACATTTATTACAAGAGTTTGATCTGAGATCAGATGGATTTTTTGTGTTGTGTAATATAGTCTTTGTGTGAAGGTTGGTTTATTTGCCCAGAGCCAGTGTCTGTCGAGGTTAGTTGGGTTGAGTGGCTGAGAGTCGGTTTGTCGGGGCTGGTTGTGGAGCATCAGTTTGTGTGCGAGTTGGTTCAGGGCAGGTGTAGAGTGGGTGCCTGTCTGAGGTCGGTCGAGGGCAGTTGTTGAGGGTTAGAGTCTTTCAGGCCTGGCTCAGTGCAGTTGCCTCGGGTCAGTCGCTGCCAGGGCTGGGTCGGAGCAGTTTGCACGGCTGGTTTGCTAGTAACCGGCAATGTGTAGCTGCTGAGGGTCAGTCGCTGCCGGGTCTGGGTCAGTGTGGCTGCCATGAGTCAGGTTCTGTTCAGACTGGTTTAGTGTAATTGTTGAGTCAGTTTATGCTGAGATTGGTTCACAGTTCAGTTTGTCGGGATCAGTCGGTCAAGTTGTTGAGTTGGCTTCTGTCAGTGTTTACTTAGTGTCGTTGAGAGTTGGGTTTAGTTGAGAGGGTGTTTGAGAGTTGGCTTGTGTCAGGGCAGGTTCAGTGCAGTTGAGTGAGTGGGGCGAAGGTTGGATTAGTAGAATTGTTGAAAATGGATTTCTGTGGCTTTGATCAGTGAAGCTCAGGGGAGTTGGTCAGTGTCAGGAATGGTTCAGTGTAGGAGCACAACCAATTTATTTACAGCAGAGCTTGGATCGGGCTGGTTGTGCGTTTGGAATATACGGTAAGTGTGGTTTTGTGGAAACCTTAGTACATTTGTACTACCTACCTCTCCAACCTACTATCCCCCATCTACCTGCCAGTACCCTCCGTTCCTCCGGCTCCGGTCTGCTCCATGTCCCCCGCCCCAATCGCCCTACCATCGGTGGTCGGGCTCTCAGCCCCGAGGCTCTGGAACTCTATCCCCCAGTGCCTTCGCCTTGCTTCCTCCCTCTCCTCCTTCAAGGCCGGTCTCAAAACCTTTCTCTTTGACCGAGCCTTCAGCTCCCCTCTCGACTCTCTTCCCCCTCCTCGCTCCCTCCCTTCCCTCCCCTCACCCTGACCATTTCCCCCCTCCTTGCTCCCTCCCTTCCCTCCCCTCACCCTGACCATTTCCCCCCTCCTCGCTCCCTCCCTTCCCTCCCCTCACCCTGACCATTTCCCCCCTTCTCGGGTCATGACCCAACTGTGCAGCGCCTTGGGACGTCCTCCTGACGTGAAAGGCGCTTTATAAATGGAATCTTGTTGTTGTTGTACATTTGTATCCTCTTTCTTTCCAGCAAGTTGGAATTCGTTGTAGATCAGGTAAGTGTAACAGCGGAAAACTATGTTGGCAACTAAAGCTATTACACTCTTTCTCTCTTACACCTTTCCACACTCCAGAGGTTTGGTAACACTATGTGGACATCATGCTGGATGTCTGACATCCGAACACATGTGAGCCAAACTCTGGTTCACACTGGAGGTTGAGATTAGAAGTTGTTAGTAGCAAAGACTGGGGTTTGAGAGGGACAAGATGGGGAGATGTTGCTGAGTTAATATGGTGAGGTGAGAGTTTGGGTTGAGGGTAGAATTAATTGGTACAGATTGTATGAATCGTGGAGATTCAAGTCAGACACTAGTTACGTGGTGTAAGATTAGATTTGATAACAAGAGTTTGATCAGAGTGAGTTTGTGTGTTGGGTAATATAGTCGCTGTGTGAAGGTTGGTTTATTTGCCCAGAGCCAGTGTCTGTCGAGGTTAGTTGGGGTGAGTGGCTGAGAGTCGGTTTGTGTTGGGGCTGGTTGTAGAACATCAGTTTGTGTGCGAGTTGGTTCAGGGCAGGTGTAGAGTCGGTGCCTGTCTGAGGTCGGTCGAGGGCAGTTGTTGAGGGTTAGAGTCTTTCAGGCCTGGCTCAGTGCAGTTGCCTCGGGTCAGTCGCTGCCAGGGCTGGGTCGGAGCAGTTTGCACGGCTGGTTTGCTAGTAACCGGCAATGTGTAGCTGCCGAGGGTCAGTCGCTGCCGGGTCTGGGTCAGTGTGGCTGCCACGAGTCAGGTTCTGTTCAGACTGGTTTAGTGTAGTTGTTGAGTCAGTTTATGCTGAGATTGCTTCACAGTTCGGTTTGTCAGGGTCAGTCACTCGTTGTTGAGTTGGGTTTAGTTGGGAGGGTGTTTGAGAGTTGGCTTGTGTCAGGGCAGGTTCAGTGCAGTTACAGTGCAGTTGAGTGAGTGGGGCGAAGGTTGTATTAGTAAAATTGTTGAGTGAGTTTTTGTGGATTTGATCAGTGAAGCTCAGGGGAGTTGGTCAGTGTTTAGTGAAGTTGAGGTGTTGTGAGACGGGATTGCCTTTGTGTTGCTGAGTTGGTTTGTCAGAGAATCCTCTGTAGTTATTGATGTAGTTAATGTTGAGATTGGTTAAGTGAATTTGATGGGAGTTGGTCAGTGTCAGGAATGGTTCAGTGTAGGAACACAACCAATTTATTTACAGCAGAGCTTGGATCGGGCTGGTTGTGCATTTGGACTATACGGTAAGTGTGGTTTTGTGGAAACCTTAGTATATTTGTATCCTCTTTCTTTCCAGCAAGTTGGAATTCGTGGTAGGTAAGTGTAATAGCAGAAAACTATGTTGGCAACTAAAGCTATTACACTCTTTCTCTCTTGCACCTTTCCACACTCCAGAGGTTTGGTAACACTATGTGGACATCATGCTGGATGTCTGACATCCGAACACATGTGAGCCAAACTCTGGTTCACACTGGAGGTTGAGATTAGAAGTCGTTAGTAGCAAAGACTGGGGTTTGAGAGGGACAAGATGGGGAGATGTTGCTGAGTTAATATGGTGAGGTGATAGTTTGGGTTGAGGGTAGAATTAATTGGTACAGATTGTATGAATCGTGGAGATTCAAGTCAGACACTGTAGTTAGATGATGTAAGATTAGATTTGGTAACATCTAGTACAAGAGTTTGATCAGAGTGAGTTTGTGTGTTGGGTAATATAGAGTCTTTGTGTGAAGGTTGGTTTATTTGCCCAGAGCCAGTGTCTGTCGAGGTTGGTTGGGGTGAGTGGCTGAGAGTTGGTTTGTATTGGGGCTGGTTGTGGAGCATCAGTTTGTGTGCAAGTTGGTTCAGGGCAGGTGTAGAGTCTGTGCCTGTCTGAGGTCGGTCGAGGGCAGTTGTTGAGGGTTAGAGTCTTTCAGGCCTGGCTCAGTGCAGTTGCCTCGGGTCAGTCGCTGCCAGGGCTGGGTCGGAGCAGTTTGCACGGCTGGTTTGCTAGTAACCGGCAATGTGTAGCTGCCGAGGGTCAGTCGCTGCCGGGTCTGGGTCAGTGTGGCTGCCACGAGTCAGGTTCTGTTCAGACTGGTTTAGTGTAATTGTTGAGTCAGTTTATGCTGAGATTGGTTCACAGTTCGGTTTGTCAGGGTGAGTCAGTCTAGTTGTTGAGAGTTGGGTT